CGTACGACGCAAATCGGATGCAGTGTGAATCTAGCAATAGAGTTATCTGGGCGTAATTCCAGTGTGTAATAGGCATTAAGGCCGATATTCATAGTTGGTTCTTATTTCCCAGACGGAATTACATATTTAAAAAAAATATTTTTATTATTATTAATCCCAGATATTTAAATAAAGTATTTAATATTTCAAATATTCGATCAAGATATTTGAAAGTGGCGAAACATGAAAATAAGTAAATATAAAAATTAATCATTGATATGAAATAAAGAATATTACGTTGGTTGACAAAATGCAATTTAAAAAATATATAATGAGTTGATTTTAATTTTAAAAATTCTCTTATCATCCCTTCCATTCCAACTTGCAATAAATCTCGTTCGAACTGGTCGTGTCGTGTGTGTGCGTGCGACCCGTGTAACTTTCCAACCTAAAAAAATGGAAGCCACGAGTGTGGAGTGTAGCGATTTTTTAGAATTTCAGGTATTTTCGAAAGCGGGGCTTACATAACACTCGTGCATTCGCACACCGCATTATACGAGTATATCAAACACACATATATTTAACAATGCTTAAGTTAATTTAAAATAAAATATTAAAATTTTTTATAATTGATGCCGGCTAGTGGCTATTATCTTACATATTTATATGATACAAAAGAACTACGCTGTGCTACAAAGAAAGATTACTTAAAAATTAATGATGTGTAGAATTTCAATGTTACTATCAAAGTTACGTCTTTTTCTAGACGTGTTTGTATATGGGCAACTTTAATGAGAGGTTAGGAACGTGTTTGTACGTGAGGTTAGCTAACAATAAGTGTAACAGAAATATATATGTACATTTAAGTTCAAATATATGTATCATTCACATTTCTACGTATATGTTCACATACCTTCATATCTCATTTTTTTTAAATATCAATACATAATTTTATTCGGATTATATGTATAAATACATGATAAATATATAAGTAAGATAAAAATATACAATGTGTATTTCAGGATACATTAAGAAAGATGCGACAAATAGATGATAAAATAATTTACATGCTGAACACTACAATTCCTACCGAATCCTTCAAAGGTCAGGTGGATCCTACCACGCAGTGTAAAGACTTGTTCCAGCAAATAGAATCCGAGCACAAGCAGAGGACACAAGCGATTACAAGATGCGTGGACATTACTAAGCAAAGAGTGATGCAGTTAAAAGATTTGAGAGAGAAGAATGGTGACGAAAATCCGACGTTAATAAAAAATTTGAGAAATGAACAGACCAAATTGAGGCTGCTACGGTCTGAGCTTAATATAGAGGAAGTTGTAAAAAAACGTACAATACAAGTGTATTACGAGAGGTGCCGTGGATTCTACAAACCATTACACATAGATGCATAGAATTTCTGAATAATCTGAAGATATTGATACATGATTATTTGAATGCTATTATTATGAATTTTTACAATATAGTTATATATATAGTAATTTTGTAAACGTCACTGACAAGTTTGTCTCTTGAATCGTTGTTATTTTGTGATGGTGTACAATATATATTGAGTCTCTTATAAGAATTTATTGTAATTGTTCATTATGTACAAGGATGATTACACAGATTACAGAGATTATATATTTAAATATTGTAGCAATCAGAATGCTTACTAAATTTAATAAGAATCGGACATTTCATTACATACAATATACATATATCGATGATCTAAATGTAAATAAAATATAATTTTACAACAGATATTTGTACATACATAGAATGTATTTTACTGCTTTGTTACTACGAAAGATTTGAAAGAACAGCCTTACATTACAAATACAAATCATTGAAACGATCAAAACTAAATGTTTATTGTTATATAATATCTTTATTATTATTAAAAAATATCATGTGGGAATCTCATTTTTAAATAATAACTAATCGAGATTTATAATATCCATCTGTGCGCGCTTTTCAGAAAATTCGTTCTAAAGATTAAATCCTAAAGATTTTTACATTTTCCTAATATTTACATATCTATTTCTTTTTATCTTCTGCCATTATTTCTTTGAGCCACTCTTCTCTTTGTTTAACCAAACTTTCTCCTCTTTTAGCTTGTTGTTTTCCAAGTAACACAGCGCCTATGCAACCAATTATGGTAAAAACTATCATATAATTACATGTCTTGATTCGTGCTTTACTTCTCGCACCGAGTATACAGTCCACTCTGTTTAAAAAAACATTTATTTATTAAATGATATAAAATAAATTAATCACAAAAAAGCTTATTACATATGAAAAATGCTATATATATATATATATATATAT